TATTATTATTATTATACAGGATTTTATTATTATTATTATTATTATTATTATTATACAGGATTTATATTATTTATTATTATTATATACAGGATTTTATATTATTATTATTATTATACAGGATTATATATATTATTATATTAGGATTTATTATTATTATTATTATACAGAATTTATATTATTATTATTATACAGGATATTATTATTATTATTACAGGATTTATATTATTATATTATACAGGATTTATATTATTATTATTATTATTATACAGGATTTATATTATTATTATTATTATTATTATACAGGATTTATATTATTAATATTATATATTATTATTATTTATTATTATTATATTATACAGGATTTATATTATTATTATTAATATTATACAGGATATTATTATTACAGGATTATATATTATTATTATTATACAGGATTTATATATTATTTTATTATACAGGAATTATATTATTATTATTTACAGAATTTATATTATTATTATTATTATACAGGATTTATATTATTATTATTTAGGAATACAGGATTTATATATTATTATTATTATTACAGGATTTATTTATTATTATTTATTATTAATACAGGATTTATATATTTATATATTTTATTATTATTATTATACAGGATTTATATTATTTTATTATTATTATATTATTATTATTATTATACAGGATTTATATTATATTATTATAAACAGAATTATATTATTATTATTATACAGGATTTTATATTATTATTATTATTATAATACAGGATTTTATATTTATTATTATTTATATTTTATTATTATTATTATACAGGATTTATATTATTATTATTATTATTATTATACAGGATTTTATTATTATTATATATTTTATATTATTATTATAATACAAATTTATATTATTATTAATTATAAATACAGGATTTTTTTATTATTATTATTATACAGGATTTATATTATTAATTATTATTATACAGGATTTATATTATTAAAATTTATATTATTATTATTATTATACAGGATTTATATTATTATTATTATACAGGATTTATATTAATTATTATACAGGATTTAATCATTATTACTTATAAAAAATAAAAATTATTGAGGAAGTTGCTGCAACTTTAGACCGGAACTATATTTAGAAAACAGAACATTTTTTTTTTAAAAATTAACAATTTTATTAAACAACTATGTTGTACCAAAACTGGGATCGTGTTATTGGAAAAAAAAAAAAAAAAAAAAAAAAAAAAGGAAGCTGCTTCCCTTAAAAACCCCCAGCGCTTTAACTTGCTGAAAAAAAAAAAAAAAAAAAAAAAAAAAAAAAAAAAAAGGAGCTTTTTTTACCCCAGCGCTTTTTTAACTATGCTGAATATCGCTTTTTTTTTTTTTTTTTTTTTTTATTTATGTTGAAAAATGCTCTACACTTATGAACAATATTATTGTCAGCTGGATGAGCCATACAAAAAAAAAAAAAAAAAAAAAGGCTCCAACCGCAATTAAGATTAATGTTTATGCTGTAATGTTAATAAATGCACTTTAAAGATATTATACAGATTTATCTTTTAAATGCATTGCCTGTACCACAATTTTGTTTTGGAAAAAAAAAAAAAAAAAAAGAGAAACTTTTTTTTTTTTTCTCTTTATAATCGCTAAAAGCTTTTGGTGCACAATTTTATGTCTAAAGGTTATTAGCTAGAAATTTCTTTGTAGCGCTTTTTTTTTTTTTTTTTTTCTTTTTCTCTCTCTCTCTTACATTTTCATTGTCATTTAAGTTACAAATTCTATTCTCCTAAACTGTCTTCTATCAATTTTAGTCTAAAGGAAATATATATGTGGAAAGGGAGCTTCGCCTTACCCCACGCTGTTTGAAAAGATTTTAAGTGGGAAAAAGGTATTTAGTATTTTTAATAAGCATCTTCAATACTATTGAGCCGGTTTCTTTGTTCATATCACAAGATTAATTATGCTGTCAAGCACTTTCAAGGCCTGCTTAACAAAGATTCAGTGATATAATGGTGTGCTTCGCAATGCTTTTTTTTTTTTTTTCCCTTTTTTTTTTTTTTTTTGCATAGCAATCACAATCAACATTAAACAATTTAAAACCCTTTCACCAGCCGGAAGTCCTGAAGTGGCTTTTAATCAAAAAAGTAATTTTGCAAACAACTAGCAGTAGAGCAACTTGGGCTTAATGTAAATATATATTTACGAATTCAGAATATTCCCAGCATTTTATCTTTTTATTCCCTCCTAACCTCTATGGTACGGCGTGAAACGTGTTAGGGCTGAACTCCAGGAAAACAGCTACATAGACGGAGGAAATATATAGAGACGTTTCTGTCCATCCAGTCTTGAGATTTACACAGCTCTGACCAGGGGGCGGACTGACCATTTGGAAGCTCGGGCACTGCCCGAGGGTCCGGGGTCAGTAGGGCCCAACGAGATGCCCCTGGTACCTTTTTCATAGGCTTTTTTGAGTTTGGGCAAGGACACAGGGGCCCCATGATCCCCTATTGCCCGGGGGCCCCATGAGTTTGTCAGTCCGCCCCTGGCTCTGATACACAACACTGCTCTGTCTGGCAGGGCAGGAAATCTGCTCTTCTGTAGTACTTACAGGTCCTGTCCCTCCTCCAGCCTGTGACTGGACAGTGAAGGGAGAAGCAGCAGACTGATGAGCTCATCTCTCTGTCATTCCGGATTCTTCTCCTATCAGTATGTTTTATGTTCAGGGGCGGACTGACAACTCATGGGGCCCCCGGGCAATAGGGGATCATGGGGCCCCGGTGTCCTTGCCCAAACTCAAAAAGCCTATGAAAACCAGGGGCATCTCATGGGGCCCCCTACTGACCCCGGACCCTCGGGCAGTGCCTGAGTTTCCAAATGGTCAGTCCACCCCTGTTCTGGTTTCTTCTTCTATCAGTATGTTCCATGTTAGTACCTGAGCAGTGCAGAACAACAGACTGGCTCCTTGCATTGCTTTTCTCTACCAGTCTGAGCTCTGCTGCACAGTGACTGCAGGAGACTGATACCAAGTTAGGTGCGCCTGCTGCTTGCATTAAAATCAATATGCTAGCATTAATATAAGGATAAATACTACTACTAATAATAATAACAACAACAACTTTAATAATTATAAAAAAAAATACAAACAAAAAAAATTAATATAACATAATACAATTATTATTATTATTATTATTATTCATCATAATAATAATAAAAATAATAATATTCAACATAATAGTGCAATATAACAATAATAATATTAATAATAATACAATATAGTTAATATTAATAAAAAATAATAATATAATTAATCATATCATATAAATATTAATAAAAATCTAATAATAAAATAATAATAATAATAAAAAAATATATATAAAAAAATAATAATAATAAAAATGATAACATAATATAATAATACTAATAATATACTACTACTAAAAAAAATAATAAAACTAATAATAATAATAAGAAGAACAACATTAATAATTATAAAAAATACAAACACAAAAATTAATATAAACATAATACAATTATTATTATTCAACATAGTATTGTAATATAATAATAATAAAAAATAATATAATAATATAGTTCATATTAATCAAAATAATAATATAATTAACCATCATCATAATAATAAAATCTAATAATAAATATAATAATAATAATAAATATATTTGATAATAATACAAATGATAACATAATATAATAATAAACTAATAATATACTACTACTACTACTACAAATAATAATAATTACAACTAATAATAATAAAAGAACAACATTAATAATGATAAAAAAATACAAACACAAAAATTAATATAACATAAAATTATTTTATTATTATTATTATTTATAATATAATAATTGTAAATAACAATTATAGTAATAATTATAATAATACAATATAGTTCATATTAATAAAATAATAATATAATTAATCATCATCATAATAATAAAATCAATAATAAATTTACTAATAATATACTACTAACTAAAAAAATAATAATATTAATACTAATAATCATAATAACAACAACATTAATAATTATAAAAAAAACACAAAAAAAAATTAATATAACACAATACAATTATTATTATTATTATTACTATTATTATTTTTAACATAATATTGTTAATAATATAATAATTATAATAATACAATATAGTTAATAGTAATCAAAATAATAATATAATTAATCATAATAATAAAATCTAATAATAAATCTAATAATAATAATAATAGTAATAATAATGCATATTTGGTAATAATACAAATGATAACATAATCTAATAATATTGATAATATACTACTACTACAAATAATAATAATATTAATAATATTATAATATTCATTGATGATAATATAGTGTAATCATGATGAAGAAAATAATAATAATAATAACATATAATTAACAAAAATAATAATATTATAATAATCACTTTAATAATAAAACAAAGGAGATATTTTCATTATCTTTCTCTCTAGAGGACTCAAACCGCTTAGGCCACCATCATGGACACAATCCATTCAGCCAATTATCCTATCACTAAGGTCTTTAGTATGGGAAGAAAGTCATGCCAAGCACAGGGAAAACATGCAAACTCCATGCGGATGGTGTCTTGGTCGGAATTCAAGCCAAGGACTCCAATGTTACAAGGCAGAAGTGCTAACCCCTAAGCTCCATATCCATTTATACCTTCTTAAATATCAACAGAAAGACCAATACCGGTGTCGGTGTCAGTGCCGATACTAAGCGTTTGTACGAATGCTCCGACACCTGGATACTGATACCTTTGCGGTGCGTTGTCATCCCATACAACATGAACACGCCCCAATGAAAGTCTAAGGAGCAAAGCTAAATTTTAGACAACAAAATCCTAATTAACAAGAATTCAACTCCAGGTGAGTCTAATGATTCATTAAACAGGAGTCCAGCAGACAGGTGGTTAGAAAAGGGTGTGACTTCACAAAGAAAACCCGCCCAGTTCATGCTGTCAGCAATGGCACCACATGGAAGAGAAAGGTCGCAAGGACTGAGAAAGAAAATCATTTCCTTACACAAGACAGGGGAGGGCTACAAAAAGATCAGCAAAGCTTTATTTATCAGTCAGAATACTGGAGCAAGAGTGATACAAAAATGTAACAAAGATGGAACTGCAACCATCTCACAGAGACGTCCAGGTTGTTCATGGAAGTAACACCTGAACAGGAGCGTTTTCCAATGAGAAGGGTTGAAGAAATAACTTCCTTACACAAGGAAGGTGAAGGCTACAAGAAGATCAGCAAAGCTTTATTTATCAGTCAGAATACTGGAATAAAAGTGATACAAAAATGTAACAAAGATGGAACTGCGACCATAACAGAGAGACGTCCAGGCCGTCCACAGAAGTAACACTTCAATAGGAGCTTCTTCCGAAGGGTTGAAGAGAATCTCCATGCAAGTTCACAGCAGTTACCTAAAAAAGTAGAAAGCAAAACTGGGGTGATTGTTTCCCCTTGACACAATGCAGAGGAATGGCATGCATGGGCGTCACCTACGAAGGAAGCCTCTCCTAAAACACAAAAAAGCCGGCCTACAATTTGCCAGGGCCCATGCTGAAAAAAAGAAGACTACTGGGACTCTGTACTCTGGAACGATGAGACCAAAATACATGTTTTTGGAACTGATGGCTTCAAAACTGTATGGTGTTGCAAAGGGGAGGAGTACAAAGAGAAGTGCATGGTGCCAACTGTGAAACATGGTGGTGGCAGTGTCCTTGAGTGCTGCAGGTGTCAGAGAGCTGCATTTCATTGATGTGTCATGAATTCACAGATGTCCTGCTCTATAGTGAAAGAGAAGATGCTCCCATCTCTCCGTGCCCTCGGTCGTCGTACACTTTTGATCCCCAACACACATCTAAGGCCACGGTTGCATTTCTGAAGAAGAACCGGGTGACAGTGATTCCGTGGCCAAGTATGTCTCCTGATCTGAACCTAACCCAACACCGATGGGCAATTCTGTAGAGACAAGTCGAGCATCACTCTCCATCCAGCATCCAGGCTCTAAAAGAGGTCGTTCTTGAAGAATGAAAAAAGATCGATGTTGCAATATGTCACCAATTGTTCATTCCATGCCTGGAAGACTTGGTGCTGTCCTTACAGATCATGGAGGTCATACAACATACTAGACGGAGGAGTTCTTGTTGGGGGGTGTGTTCATTTTTTCATCAACTAATTGGAGTAATACTGAAGATTTTGTCATCTAATGCAGACCATAGACGGTTCGTTTATCAGCCAATTTTTTTGTCCGAAAAACGAAACATCTATCGTTCTGTTGTCACCAATCATTGCGAAAATTGCCGTTTTTCACAAATTTTCCAGCATGACCGATAAAAGAAATGAGGAGGAACCGCGAAAATCGGCTGATTATTCTTTTGGATGAAAACTCAGCCGATAAACAAACCGTCTATGGCCTGCATAAGTTCTTCCTTCCATGGAATGAGCCGAACAAATGTTTCATAAAACTCCGTTTTGTCACAATGTTGCAAATTGTTCACTGAGATAATAATTCAAATGTTACTTTTCAAAAGGGGCGTGGTCATTTCTGCTGAGCGCCGCCCATCTTTCATATCATGCGTGTAGCCTGCTTTTCCTGCTTAGTAATGCTGCACAGTGGCTGTGTCCTACTCAGGGGCGTCCCTAGGGTTGGTGTCACCCGGTGCAGTAACACTTGGTGACACCCCCTCCGACGATCCCCACAGGATGGATCAGATCTGCGGATTGAGCATAATGGATCAGAGTCCCATCCATTATGCTTCCCAGTCTGCAGATCTGATCCATCCTGTGGGAATCGTCTGCATGTGACCTATACGAGGTGACACCAGACCCGCTTCCTACTCAAGGGCATCCCTAGGGTTGGTGTCACCTAATGCAGAAACACTTGGTGACACCCCCTCTGACGATCCCGCAGGATGGATCGGATCTGCGGATTGAGCATAATGTATCGGAGTCCCTTCCATTATGCTCAATCCGCATATCCGATCCATCCTGCGGGGATCGTCTGCATGCGACCTATGCAGGGTGACACCGGACCCACTCCACGAAAAGGTAAGTTGTAAAGAATGCCGACGATCCCCGCAGGATGGATCGGATATGCGGATTGAGCATAATGGATGGGACTCCGATCCATTATGCTCAATCTGCAGATCCGATCCATCCTGCCAAGATTGTCGGCATTCTTTACAACTTACCTTTTCGTGGAAGCGGGGTTTGGTGTCACCCTGTATCCTGTGGGGATCCTTGGCATGTAACCTATACAGGGTGACACCCCCTCCGACGATCCCCGCAGGATGGATCGGATCTGTGGCTTGAGCAGTCCGATCCATTATGCTCCCCAATCCGCAGATCCGATCCATCCTGTGGGGATCATCACCTTTCTTTACAACTTACCTTTACGTGGAGTGGGTCCGGTGTCACCCCCTATAGGTCGCATGCAGACAATGCCTGCAGGATGGATCGGATCTGCGGATTGGGGAGCATAATGGATGGCACTCCGATCCATTATGCTCAATCCGCAGATCCGATCCATCCTGCGGGGATCATCGGAGGGAGTGTCACCAAGTGTTATCGCACCGGGTAAGACCAACCCTAGGGATGCCCCTGAGTAGGAAGAGGGTCCGGTGTCACCCCGTATAGGCTGCATGCCGACGATCCCCGCAGGATGGATGGGATCTGTGGATTGGGGAGCATAATGGATTGGAGTGCGATCCATGATGCTCAATCTGCAGATCTGATCCATCCTGCGGGGAGCGTTGGCTTTCTTTACAACTTACCTTTTCGTGGAGCGGGTCCGGTGTCACCCCATATCCTGAGGGGATCGTCGGCATGCAACCTATATGGGGTGACACCGGACCCGCTTCCTACTCAGGGGCATCCCTAGGGTTGGTGACACCCCCTCTGACGATCCCCGCAGGATGGATTGGATCTGCGGATTGAGCATAATGGATCGGATCCATCCTGCGGAGATCGTCGGCTTGCTTTACAACGTACCTTTTTGTGGAAGCGGGTCCGGTGTCACCCCGTGCAGTAGGTGTCACCGGACCCCGCACCTGCCTCGGGACGCCACTGGTCCTACTCAAGGCTGACTCAGTGAAAATGACGCGCCTGTTATCTCGGCAGCTGCTAAGCGAGGAGGCTGAGTGACTGCAGTGAAATAAAGACCTCGCTGAGACGGCTCATCCGGGATCAATGCAGCAACGGAAATACGGAACAGCAAAAAAAAAAGAGATTAAACCCCGCATCGGGAAGCGCATTACCACATGTTTGCATGCTGCACGGCATGCTGTGTTAAGGCAGCCCACATGTGATGAATAAACTGGCATTGCACCACACCACAATGCACACAGCATTTTTGATGCGTTTTGCGTTTTTTTTTTAATTCTTTTTTATTTTTCTTGTTGCTAGGCAGATTTGAAATGCAAAACGCATCAAAAACGCGGGGACATTGCCAGATACTGCACAAGGGCAATGAATGGCGCAAAACAGCTGCCCTGCAATAAGTGTTTTTGCCGCGTATTTGATGCGCTTTGCGTTTTTTTTTCATAGTTTTTATTTTTCTTGTTGCTAGGCAGATTTGAAATACAAAACACATCAAAAACGTGGGGACATTGGCAGATACTGCGCAAGTGCAATGAATGGCCGCAAAACAGCTGCTCTGCAATAAGCGTTTTTGCCGCGTATTTGATGCGCTTTGTATTTTTTTTTTCATTTTTTTTATTTTTCTTGTTGCTAGGCAGATTTAAAATGCAAAACGCATCAAAAACGCAGGGACATTGGCAGATATTGTCGCTGCCGTGCAATAAGCGTTTTTGCCGCGTATTTAATGCGTTTTTTTTATTTCATTCTTTTTTATTTTTCTTGTTGCTAGGCAGATTTAAAACACATCAAAAATGCATCAGAAACGTGCAAAAACGCAGCAAAAATGCTGAAAAACCACACTACATGCTTTTCTGCAGAGTTTCCAGTGAAGTCTATAGAACCAAAATCGCAGCTTTTTGCATCAAAAAAAGTCCCCTACCCTAGGTTCACACCTGCGCAGGTTGCGTTTGAGCCGTTTCTGCGTTGCATTTTTTTTTTTTTGCTGAGTTTTGCAGCGTTTTTTGATGTGTTTTGCGTTTTTTTTTTTTTTTTCATTCTTTTTTATTTTTCTTGTTGCTAGGCAGATTTAAAATGCAAAACACATGAAAAACTCAGCAAAACATGACAAAAATGCACCAACAATGCAAAAAAAAAAAACGCACTACATGCTTTTCTGCAGCGTTTCATTGAAGTCTACTGAGCTATAAATGCAGCTTTTTGCATTAAAAAAAGTCCCCGACCCTAGGATCACACTGGCGCAGGTTGCGTTTGAGGCGTTTCTGCGTTGCGTTTTTTGTTGCGTTTTGCACCTGCGGTTTTGCAGAGTTTTTGATGTGTTTTGCATTTTTTTACATTCTTTTTTATTTTTCTTGTTGCTAGGCAGATTTAAAGCACAAAACACATGAAAAACGCAGCAAAAACATGGCAAAAATGCAGAGAAAATTCTGCCCCAATGGTGCAGGTTGCGTTTGAGCCATTTCTGTGTTGCTTTTTTTTTTTTGCTGCGTTTTGCAGCATTTGTGATGTGTTTTGCATTTTTTTTTCATTCATTTTTATGTTTCTTGTTGCTAGGCAGATTTAAAACGCAAAACACATTGAAAACGCAGCAAAAACATGGCAAAAATGCAGCGAAAAATGAAAAAAAAAAAAACACTACATGACTTTCTGCAGCGTTTCATTGAAGTCTATCGAACCAAAAACACAGCTTTTTGCCTCCCCGACCCTAGGTTCACACCTGCGCAGGTTGGGTTTGAGGCGTTTCTGTGTTGCGTTTTTTGTTGCGTTTTGCACCTGCGGTTTTGCAGCATTTTTTATGCATTTTTTATTATTTTTTTATTTTTCTTGTTGCTAGGCAGATTTCAAAAACGCGGCAAAAACGCAGCGAAAATGCAGAGGAACCACACTACATGCTTTTCTACAGCGTTTCCGTTGAAGTCTATGGAACCAAAAATGCTACTTTTTGCATTAAAAAAAAATCCCCGACTGTATACATATATAGAAAATGTAATTTTTTTTTAATAAAATCCTTGTTTTTCCTTTTTTGTCACTCTTTGTTGGATCTCTGTGCCTCTGATCTCCTGTTACCTCTTTGCAACCGCTTTCCACTGCAGTTGGGGATTTTGGAGAGCGGTGTTGGCAGTTCTGCACATGCTCAGTTTGCGGCGTGTTTCCATGCTGGGCATTTCCTCCCTATCACATCTGGGCAGCCCATGTGACTATAGAGCGGGGGGGGGTCTCCAAACTTTTCAAAGGACCAGTGGGGGTAGAAAATGTCCCCGGCCTGGCATCAGTGAGAATAAACAACAGGGTTGGTGGTTAGTAAGAGCAAGAGTAATGCCCCATCATTGGTGTCAG